GGACGTTTACTTTTGTGTAAACCAAAAATTGCCCCCACCAGTCACGTTCAGGGGATCAGGTTGTGCGCGTGGAGGAGAATGATTCAGGCGTAGAAGAATCTGATCCCGCTCTTGGAAGTTGGGTCTGCGGCTTAATCCTCTTAGGCTCGTTCCTGCAGGCGCGCGCTTTTCACTGCAGTCTTTTCCATAACTTGGGACCACTGTCCCAAGTTACCCGCACCCTCAAACACATTTTCCAAAGCGTAATTTTTTTTTCTGAGTTTCAAAGTATTTCTGTTTGCATCTGTTTAGCGGGGGCTGCAGTGGCTGAGACAGGTGTGGAACAGCTGGTGGAAGCGGCCGAGGCAGGTACTCACCTAGTTGTACTCACCTAGTTGTGCTTGCGGGGGGTTGAGCTCTGGCTCTTTGGTCCCGCCTCTCAACCGTCAATCAACAGGTGTACAGGTTCCTGAGCCTATTGGGCTCTATCATATCTACACTTGAAACTGTGTATGGAGTCAGCCTCCACCACATTGCTTCCTAATGCATTCCATTTGTCAACCACTCTCACACTAAAAAAGTTCTTTCTAATATCTCTGTGGCTCATTTGGGCACTCAGTTTCCACCTGTGTCCCCTAGTGCGTGTGCCCCTTGTGTTAAATAGCCTATCTTTATCATCCCTGTCGATTCCCTTGAGAATCTTGAATGTGGTGATCATGTCCCCCCTAACTCTTCTGTCTTCCAACGAAGTGAGGTTCAATTCCCGTAGTCTCTCCTCGTAGCTGATACCTCTCAGCTCGGGTACTAGTCTGGTGGCAAACCTTTGAACCTTTTCCAGTTTAGTCTTATGCTTGACTAGATATGGACTCCATGCTGGAGCCGCATACTCCAGGATTGGTCTGACATATGTGGTATATAATGTTCTGAAAGATTCCTTACACAAGTTTCTAAAGGCCGTTCTTATGTTAGCCAACCTGGCATATGCTGCTGATGTTATCCTCTTGATACATCCTCTTGAGGTGTGGAACAGCTGATGGAGGCAGGTATGGAGCAGCTGGTGGAGGCGGCTGAGACAAGTGTGGAGCAGCTGGTGGAGGCGGCTGAGACAAGTGTGGAGCAGCTGGTGGAGGCGGCAATAATCACGGAAGACTGTGGGCCCCTAGCAACGCGTCCTAGCAACCGCTCACTAGCGACCTCTAGCCTAGCAGGTTGCAGCTGCGTGCCGGCCGCCGGCTGCAGCTGCGTGCCGGCCGCAGTCCTCTGGTGCTGCAGGCAGCTGTCTCCTTTACCTCCAAATCATTGGTTCTCCGTCCTCTGTCTTCTTGTTTGTCCCGTCCCTCCTCTTCTCTGTTGCTGTTTACTTTTCTGACCCTCTTAGTATAAGCCTGCTCCACCCCGTCTACCCTCATTTCCTTCTTATCTATTAATGGTCATTTAATTTTCTCCACTTCATTCACTCCCTCCCAACCCCTTTCTGTTTCCCTGCACCTCACACTTCTGCTCACTTTATTTTCCAGTGTGTCCTTTCCTTCAGAGTGTCGGATTTTTTTCAGTATACGTCTCAATTTTTCCACCTTCTCAGTTTTCTCTTATCTTTTCAGTTTTTCTCTTCGTACTCGTGATTCCTCTGTATCTTGCATTCCATCTCTCTCTCTCTCTCTCTCTACCACTTGGACTGGATGGTAGAGTGACGGTCTCGCTTCTTGCAGGTCGGCGTTCAATCCCCGACCGTCCAAGTGGTTGGGTACCATTCTTTATCCCCCCGTCCCATCCCAAATCCTTATCCTCATCCCTTCCAGGTGCTATATAGTCATAATGGCACTGTCTCCTGCCCAACATTGCCAACATTGCACGATGTTGGTAATGTAGGCTCTAGCTGCATGAGCCGCTGCCTCACACTCTTGGGGCATGCCAAACCAGAGCTGTTTTGGCTTCAGCATGTCGGCTGCTGCCTGCCTAACTGTTCTAGCGGCAGCTTTATGGGGTTACGTATTGGGGACAAAGATGATTATCATAAGTTGTCGAGTTCCTCCAGCTCCTCAGATGGCGGGCAGGAACCCTGAATGCAGTGTGCATTTCCCCTCTGTATCGCCACGCTGAGGCGCTGGAAAAGGAAGGTGGTAGCTCTAGGGTCCCTTGTCGTTTCAATTAGCCTAGAACCCAGTTCCTTAAAAAAACTGGTGGCACTCTTATCCCAGGCGCCGAGTGTCTCAGAAGCAATGGGGACAAAATTGTAGTGGTGATCCAGTTCTCTGTACTTACGTGATTTGGCTGATTCCCTGTCAGTGGCAGCGCCACCTGCTTGTGCAACACTGAAGTCAATGTAGGTGTTAGCCAGGGTTGTTAGGCACGTGTAGTCCCACACCAACTGCTTGCCATTCTTCCAGGGGTTCACTGTGTTACCATCTGGGCGACCAATAAGAGCATCAGTGTTACAGGGCGTTAGGTAACGGGGCTCTCTTTCAGCTGGGCATCCAGCTGTGGTGAGACTCCTCTTGATGATGTCGTTAACTTCACTGTGCCTCGAGTGCCATCCCCCTGTGCTTTGGTAGAGTAGGTCATGGTGGCCGTACCTGTCAGCCACCACCTCGCCGCAAATACACCTATATTTGGTGTGGATTGGGGCAGCAAGGCGGAGGGCCACAGCAATTCGGAGGGCGTGTGGTGTGAGACGCGTGCCAGTTGCCGACATTGGGATTGGGGTTGCTAACATATATATATATATATATATATATATATATATATATATATATATATATATATATATATATATATATATATATATATATATATACATATATAATGTTGTTGAATGTGACCGAAAGGGTAGGGTAAGATTTATAATTCTAACACGAATCTTCTCAATATTTCTTACGTTTCTCTTCACTGTCGAAGGTAATTGAAAAATTAACTCTCCAAAATTCATTTTTTACATTTTTATTTTTGGTCTGACGCCTGAAAGCGTTTCGTAAGGCTTCTTACATTTTCAAAGACTTGGTTTACACATAACATACATCATGCTTTTTATTTGTTTTGGGTGAGGTGATATGACACAAATGTTTTGGGTGAGGTGGGTATTAAATGGGTATGAAAGACATAAGAATGAAAGTAACTGCAGAAGGCCTATTGGCCCATACTTTCTCTTGCTGCTTCTATATTGCTTCGGGGTCTTGAAGTGTTGACTTTTTGATGTGTAGTGCCTCGCTGATGTCGAGTCTCCTGCTATTGCTGTATCTATCAATGATTTCTGTGTTGTTTGTTAAGATTTCTCTGGTGATAGTCTGGTTGTGAGAAGAGATCACGTTCAAGTTCAAGTATGTTTATTGAGATAAGCAATAAATACATCTCGTTTATTAGAGATTATATGTTCTTGATGGAGCCTTGTTGTTTGTGCATTGTTAATCGCCTAGAAAGAGACGTTGTTGTCTTGACTATATACTGAGTTCTTTGGGGCTTACAGTCCCCAAGTGGACATGTGAAGGCATAGACGACGTTGGTTTCCTTCAAGGCGTTCTGTTTGGTGTCTGGGGAGTTCTTCATGAGTAGGTTGGCCATTTTGTTGTTTTTGTAGTAAATTGTCAATTGTATTTTCTGATTTTTGTCTGTAGGGATAACGTTCTTATTAATAAAATATTTCAGGACACTTTCCTCCGTTTTATGAGCCGTCGAAAAGAAGTTCCTGTAAAACAGTCTAATAGGGCCTGATCAACAGCCTGATCAACCAGGCTGTGACTCATACGTCAGGCTGCGAGCAGCCGCGTCTAACAGCCTGGTTGATCAGTCCAGCAACCAGGAGGCCTGGTCGACGACCGGGCCGCGGGGACACTAAGCCCCGGAAGCACCTCAAGGTAGCCTCAAGGTAGGTAGGGGGTACATGTGTTGTGTTAGTTGACTCTTCAGAGGTTGCATGGCGCTTCACCTTTCTTTACGTTTCACCATAAACCAACGTCGTGTATGCCTTCATATGCCCACTTGGGGACTGTGGGACATTAATAAACCGATACAATATTAAATATTTGTTTAGTCTCCCCACACTTCCCTGGAAACACAAACCGAAACTGTCTCTATTTTCCGCTTGTTACAGTTTAGTTTAGTTCATTTATTATGCACCCCATACCCATCTTGTGGGCGGTAGTGGAAAGGGTGACAGAGGCACATAATGGGCTCAGGGACTGAACCCCACAATTCATTTAGCTAAGCAAGTTACAATCTTGATGAGCTAGTTACAAAATTCAATATAAGTCGTCACATCAACAATGGGTTCGAGATCGACCTCAAGTACAGGTTACAACTTGTAATAAAGTTGTTACAACTTGGCTTAACGTGTTTATGACGTATTAGAACGTTGCTATATCTTGCTATATTAGTTGTTATAACTGGTTAGGAGGTGTTAAAACTTGTTCGAACGTTGTACCAACGTCGTAGTTTCGGTGTGTGCTTGGCGGAATATTAATCTCACCCATTCCCCAGCCGTCGAAGAAAACCGAGATTGTGGAAGTTACTGGATTGGTGTCCTGTGCTGGCTCCTGGGGTGGAGGGTGGGGGGGGGGCATAAGTTGCTCCACGGTGACTTAAAGGTTTTCGTGTTGTTGAGTCTGGAGAGTTGGTGTTTAGCTGTTGGAGCTAAAATGAAGCTTGGAGGGCTTTCTGATTAGTAAGAAATTACTAAATATTATTATAATAAATAAATAAATAAATAATAAATGTTTACTTAGGTAAGGTACATACATAAAGAGATTTTACAAAGTTTGTTGGGTTAATAGATAGAGCTTATTTAACCTTATTTAAATTACCGCTACTCATTCAGGTCAGATTTATCACAATTAATACCCTGCTATACTTTTTCAAGTTATGGAACTTTTCCTTGCTATTTCAGACATAGTTGCTGAGTGACCTCTAGTTATGTACAATAAACTACGCTAATTACAGGGTCCTAACGGAGAGCTAAGGCCACCAACTGTCTACAATTACGGCTTAATTTTCAGGCTCTGTAATATGTGTGTAATTACTGTGTATGTATTCTACCATCTCACTAATGCTGGAGGAACCATTACAAAAACACCAAACTCGGCACGTATCAGTCCTGACACTGGGAAGCAGACACACGGGTTATATGTATTATACATATGCACACCTCTTGATGATATACAATATGTCAAATTGAAAATAGGAGAGGTACGAGGCAGCTGGAAAATTGCCACTGTTCTTCTAGCATTAAAATCAAGGGAAATAAACAGGTTCTTTTGATTGCTAGAACAGTTTCCGTAAGACCTCTGTCATGCTGGCCCTGGGTAGTGGTTTCAAGTATTCTCAAGATAATAGTGGTGTACCTAGATTATATAAGAGTGGACAGGGATGGATAGATTTAAGGAAGGGAATGTCTCTGCCTCCTGCAGCATCACTGTCTCTGCCTCCTGCAGCATCACTGTCTCTGTCTCCTGCAGCATCACTGTCTCTGTCTCCTGCAGCATCACTGTCTCTGTCTCCTGCAGCATCACTGTCTCTGTCTCCTGCAGCATCCGTGTCTCTGTCTCCTGCAGCATCTGTGTCTCTGTCTCCTGCAGCATCACTGTCTCTGTCTCCTGCAGCATCACTGTCTCCTGCAGCATCACTGTCTCTGTCTCCTGCAGCATCCGTGTCTCTGTCTCCTGCAGCATCCGTGTCTCTGCCTCCTGCAGCATCACTGTCTCTGTCTCCTGCAGCATCACTGTCTCTGTCTCCTGCAGCATCACTGTCTCTGTCTCCTGCAGCATCTGTGTCTCTGTCTCCTGCAGCATCCGTGTCTCTGTCTCCTGCAGCATCTGTGTCTCTGTCTCCTGCAGCATCACTGTCTCTGTCTCCTGCAGCATCACTGTCTCTGTCTCCTGCAGCATCCGTGTCTCTGTCTCCTGCAGCATCACTGTCTCTGTCTCCTGCAGCATCTGTGTCTCTGTCTCCTGCAGCATCACTGTCTCTGTCTCCTACAGCATCTGTCTCTGTCTCCTGCAGCATCACTGTCTCTGTCTCCTGCAGCATCTGTGTCTCTGTCTCCTGCAGCATCTGTGTCTCTGTCTCCTACAGCATCTGTCTCTGTCTCCTGCAGCATCACTGTCTCTGCCTCCTGCAGCATCACTGTCTCTGCCTCCTGCAGCATCACTGTCTGTGCCTCCTGCAGCATCACTGTCTGTGCCTCCTGCAGCATCCGTGTCTCTGTCTCCTGCAGCATCACTGTCTCTGTCTCCTGCAGCATCCGTGTCTCTGTCTCCTGCAGCATCACTGTCTCTGCCTCCTGCAGCATCTGTGTCTCTGTCTCTGCCTCCTGCAGCATCTCTGTCTCTGTCCTGCAGCATCACTGTTTCTGTCTCCTGCAGCATCACTGTTTCTGTCTCCTGCAGCATCACTGTCTCTGCCTCCTGCAGCATCACTGTCTCTGCCTCCTGCAGCATCACTGTCTCTGCCTCCTGCAGCATCACTGTCTCTGCCTCCTACAGCATCACTGTCTCTGCCTCCTGCAGCATCACTGTCTCTGCCTCCTGCAGCATCACTGTCTCTGCCTCCTGCAGCATCACTGCCTCCTACAGCATCACTGTCCGTGACCTTCTCCAATCTTTACATTTTCAGCTTCAGCATACTCCTTGTCCTCCTACTCTTCCCCTTCTGTATATCTACTGCTTTCATTATACTTGTTTTCTATCTCCTCTTTATTCTCCTCATATTTCTCCCCATTTTCTTCTCCTCTTTCCCCTCCTCGTTTTTATTGTACCAAAAACTGGATCTTTTCCTTTTAACCCGATGCTCTTGAAGCGAGAAACTGGAAATTTTGCCAGCGATGGCCTTGTCTCACACGTGTTTATTGGTTCCTGTCGCGTCGTAGTGGTTGGGCTTGACGCTTGGCGAGATGTTTGGTTAGTGCCGGCCGCGGGGGGGGGGGGGGGGGGATGTTGTTGTTATTGGAGATCAATTTGGTTAATATTGATCTCCATTGATCAATATAGACGTTAGGTTATGAGATTTTGTTGATATCTTTGTTAAAGCTGGCGGTGCGACCTCTGAACGTGTTCCCGACTGTATACGTTTTGGGGGCTTCTTGGGGCTTCTTGGGGCCCCGCTCAGGGCTTCCCGCCCCCCCCCCCTGCTCAGGGATGTGAAAGATGTTTATAATAAATTCGCGTTTTCTAGGTTATGTATTGGGTTATAACTAAAAATAATTGCCTAAATGTTCGCAACTGAATTCTCTAGTGTACAGATGCAAAAAGAAAAAAAGAAAAAAACAAGAATCGTATTTATGAAATGTAGAAATCAACAAGGGCCGTGATGAAGGTTCGAAACCTACGCCCGGGATGATCCCAGACGCGCCTTAGTAAGTGTTATGAAATGTGTTTAAGGTAGAATATACTAACGGTTTTAGTCGCTTGTAAGGCAGCGCGCGGGAAGCTCTCTCCGGGCGGTTCCTTTCATACCCTAGAGATGTGGTTATCTAATTAATGTATGGGATAGCTGAGGTCTATTATTTGATATCGTAAATGCCCCCCCCCCCCAAGAAAGACGGTGCATACGCTATGTTATTACAACAGTTAACTACAAGCATACTTGAGAGTGCTCAGGTTATGGGGTAACGATGTGTAACTCAATGCTGTACCCACGTAGATGAAGGTGGAAGATGTACCGGATGTGCTTGTAATATATTTAAACAATCATATCTCGCTCATAGCGCAGTGAAGCGCGTCAGTGACTGAAGCAGTACGACTCAAACCCAAGTTGTAGGCATATACCTTGCCACTAAATTTGTAAAAGGATGTGGAATTATATACTGTGACTCTGAGTTACTTTATGTAATTGTACTCACATAGTAGCAACACCCAGAAAATAGTCAGTAATATTAGAATTAATGTTTCAGCTGCTAGAGAAAATAGATATGAAATTAAATTTCTATGGATACCATTCACCAGTTGGCATCTCATGGCATGACACTGTTGACATGCTTGCAAAGACAGCGTGTAGTAGACCAGTAGTAGTAATTAATATGGGTATTTTATTAGCAGGGACAAAGAGAATACTTAAATATCTGATGAAAATCTTACTGACCTAACAAATTCACTTAAGACCTGAAAGCTGCACCATTAAACATTATGATAAATATCGCGAGGAGATATTTATATATGGAACTAATAGAGCAAAGAACTCGGCAATGTGATGTTATAGTGGCCAGAATACGCCTGGGATATAGACGTATCTGGCAGCTTTCTCAAAAGTCAAATGTCGAATACACCGTGTGTCAACTTTGTGAAAGTGTCGAATACACCATGTGTCAACTTTGTGAAAGTGTCGAATACACCGTGTGCCAACTTTGTGAAAGTGTCGAATACACAGTGTGTCAACTTTGTGAAAGTGTCGAATACACCGTGTGTCAACTTTGTGAAAGTGTCGAATACACCGTGTGTCAACTTTGTGAAAGTGTCGAATACACCATGTGTCAACTTTGTGAAAGTGTCGAATACACCGTGTGTCAACTTTGTGAAAGTGTCGAATACACCGTGTGTCAACTTTGTGAAAGTGTCGAATACACCGTGTGTCAACTTTGTGAAAGTGTCGAATACACCGTGTGTCAACTTTGTGAAAGTGTCGAATACACCATGTGTCAACTTTGTGAAAGAGAAAACATGAACATTATATTGTAGAATGTCCCATATTGACTGCCTTCCCTCCCCCCCTCTTCCTGGGTTGAGATATGCTGAACTCTGTAAATATTATCTAAATGAGCTGGAATGCGTAGTAACATAATAGACTTGTACCATAGATTGATTATGCACTGCATCAGTTATGTAATATATGCGATGTAGGTTAGCATTTTGAAAGCATTACAGCCACCGTCTGTGATTGTTCAATAAATTACTGAACTATATGTTTAACAGATCTCTCAGCCTGTCCATGGAGGACAGAAGAAAATGTATATATGCTGGTTAGCATTGTAAATGTCTGGCCACGTTTGTGGTAGAAATTAAAAAAAAAATAACAGCGATTTTCATAAGTTTTCGGACTGGTTGATTCTCCCACGTTTACCGTCTGAGTAAGGAAAATGGAACGCGTTTCTGGCCACGTGAGCGTTTCTGGCCACGTGAGCGTTTCTGGCCACGTGAGCGTTTCTGGCCACGTGAGCGTTTCTGGCCACGTGAGCGTGTCTGGCCACGTGAGCGTGTCTGGCCACGTGAGCGTGTCTGGCCACGTGAGCGTGTCTGGCCACGTGAGCGTGTCTGGCCACGTGAGCGTGTCTGGCCACGTGAGCGTGTCTGGCCACGTGAGCGTGTCTGGCCACGTGAGCGTGTCTGGCCACGTGAGCGTGTCTGGCCACGTGAGCGTGTCTGGCCACGTGAGCGTGTCTGGCCACGTGAGCGTGTCTGGCCACGTGAGTGTTCCTGGCCACGTGAACGTGTCTGGCCACGTGAGCGTGTCTGGCCACGTGAGCGTTCCTGGCCACGTGAGCGTGTCTGGCCACGTGAGCGTGTCTGGCCACGTGAGCGTGTCTGGCCACGTGAGCGTGTCTGGCCACGTGAGCGTTCCTGGCCACGTGAGTGTTTCTAGCCACGTGAGCGTTTCTGGCCACGTGAGCGTTTCTGGCCACGTGAACGTGTCTGGCCACGTGAGCGTGTCTGGCCACGTGAGCGTGTCTGGCCACGTGAGCGTGTCTGGCCACGTGAGCGTTTCTGGCCACGTGAGCGTGTCTGGCCACGTGAGCGTGTCTGGCCACGTGAGCGTGTCTGGCCACGTGAGCGTGTCTGGCCACGTGAGCGTGTCTGGCCACGTGAGTGTTCCTGGCCACGTGAACGTGTCTGGCCACGTGAGCGTGTCTGGCCACGTGAGCGTTCCTGGCCACGTGAGCGTGTCTGGCCACGTGAGCGTGTCTGGCCACGTGAGCGTGTCTGGCCACGTGAGCGTGTCTGGCCACGTGAGCGTTCCTGGCCACGTGAGCGTGTCTGGCCACGTGAGCGTGTCTGGCCACGTGAGCGTGTCTGGCCACGTGAGCGTGTCTGGCCACGTGAGCGTTCCTGGCCACGTGAGTGTTTCTAGCCACGTGAGCGTTTCTGGCCACGTGAGCGTTTCTGGCCACGTGAACGTGTCTGGCCACGTGAACGTGTCTGGTCACGTGAGTGTTTCTAGCCACGTGAGCGTTTCTGGCCACGTGAGCGTGTCTGGCCACGTGAACGTGTCTGGCCACGTGAACGTGTCTGGCCACGTGAACGTGTCTGGCCACGTGAGCGTGTCTGGCCACGTGAGCGTGTCTGGCCACGTGAGCGTGTCTGGCCACGTGAACGTGTCTGGCCACGTGAACGTGTCTGGCCACGTGAACGTGTCTGGCCACGTGAACGTGTCTGGCCACGTGAGCGTGTCTGGCCACGTGAGCGTGTCTGGCCACGTGAGCGTATGTGGCGATACTAGAGCGACCTTTGCTTATACTTTTCTTAGATGGTTGTTAATACTAACCGTCAGAAGACGAGGGGAAGTTGCTGGAGAGTCCCTTGTTAAACCAAGGCTGCAGGGCTGTTTATGTGGGATTTCTTCTCGATTGTTAAAAACTATTTTGGTTGTTAATGCTAGTAACGAGGTAGTGTTCGTTTAAACAAGTGGTGGGGGTAACTGTCCCCCCCCCCACCCCAACCCTCCCCCACCTTCCCCCCTATATCTCCCCCCCCCTTCCCCCCCCCCCACATCTTCACCAACTGCGTGTACTTGCACAGGTAGTCGAAGCTCTCTTGAGATGGTTGCATGAAAGATGATGCGAGGCGTTGCAACATCTTGGTCAATGATAACCAGGGGCACGGACATCCTGCTCACGTGTTGCATGCCCTCGCTACACCAGTTGCAACTGCAATATTCGCTGCAATACGACCCCCTCAAGCAACTCTTCTTCAGGGTTGTTCTGGCGCTCTCGTCTGTAGCCGGACTTAGTCAGTAGCAGGACTCTCGTCGGACTTAATCGAAGTCCGTCCTTCGATTTTGATGGGGGGAAATCAATAAATTAATGAGATTCTTCACTGTAGCTCCCGAATATGGTTGTTGTAGTGCTCTAGTTGATAAACTTGTATTAACTTGTATTAACTTGAGATAATACAGTTGCCTCTGAGTCCAGCTTCCTCTCAGGGAGGTCTCAGAGTCCAGCTTCCTTTTAGGGGGTCTAAGAGTCTACCTTCCTCTCAGGGGGGTCTAAGAGTCCAGCTTCCTTTTAGGGGGTCTAAGAGTCTACCTTCCTCTCAGGGGGGTCGAAGAGTCCAGCTTCCTTTTAGGGGGTCTAAGAGTCTACCTTCCTCTCAGGGGGGTCGAAGAGTCCAGCTTCCTTTTAGGGGGTCTAAGAGTCTACCTTCCTCTCAGGGGGGTCGAAGAGTCCAGCTTCCTTTTAGGGGGTCTAAGAGTCTACCTTCCTCTCAGGGGGGTCGAAGAGTCCAGCTTCCTTTTAGGGGGTCTAAGAGTCTACCTTCCTCTCAGGGGGGTCGAAGAGTCCAGCTTCCCTCGTGCTGGCAGACATGTAGAGATTATACTTCAGACTGGTCAGGGAGACGTGGTTGGCTGTGGCAGACCGTCTCGACAGAGGGATCAGCTCATGTAATGGTCACTGTATTTCTAAGATATCTGGTTAAGTGGCACAATCGCGCACGTGAACGACGCCTTGGGGAACGCAGAGGTCAGGAGGAGGGGGGGGGGGTTGGGGGTGGGAAGGGGGGATGGGAGCTGCGGATTATGGGAATCGATGCTCGGGTGTTGCATACTGTGCTTGCAGAGTGGTCCTCATGACCTGCCTGCACGAATGCACGAACGTCGAACAGAATGCACGAACTGTTCTGCTAGTAAATAGGTACCTGGGAGTTAGACAATTGCTACAGGCTGCTTCCTGAGGATGTGTGTTTGTGTTAGAGAAATATATATAGTAGACATAATGGAGGAAAATAGATTGGTTAGAAAGACGGGGTCCAAGAGCCAGTAGCTGGATTCTGCAAGCACAATTAGTAAATAAACACACACACACACACACACACACATGATCACCACATTCAAGATTCTCAAGGGAATCGACAGGGTAGATAAAGACAGGTTATTTAACACAAGGGGCACACACACTAGGGGACACAGGTGGAAACTGAGTGCCCAAATGAGCCACAGAGATATTAGAAAGAACTTTTTTAGTGTCAGAGTGGTTGACAAATGGAATGCATTAGGAAGTAATGTGGTGGAGGCTGACTCCATACACAGTTTCAAGTGTAGATATGATAGAGCCCAATAGGCTCAGGATCTTGTACATCAGTTGATTGAGGGTTGAGAGGCGGGACCAAAGAGCCAGAACTCAACCCCCGCAAGGACAACTAGGTGAGTACACACAAACACAAAGTGATAGGGAGGAACTTCCTGATGGAACATATGAGGAAGGAGGCTCAAGGAGGGATGGTGGAGACGCAGCTAGGCTAGACCTGGTCGTCACACATAATGAGATGGAAATTGAAGGTGATCAAGGGATAAGGGAATCAAGAAGAGCATTAGTCCATGCTTCAATGCCTGGAGTTAAAGACAAGAAGTAAAAGGGCATTTAAGAAATAGAGAAAACACAGAACCGAAGGAAATCACGATGTTTGTAAAAAAAAAGGGCCAGAAATTAGTGCACAAAAATTAGATAGGAGAGTGTGGCAAAAATGCAATACAAGAATGACAACATACGAGGCTACGTTCCTTCTGAAACTGTTCCACAGCTAAAGATGACTGTGAACGACCAAGTGATCAGACTTAACAACAATTAGGGAAGCCACAAGGAGAAAGATCAGTATGTAAGAAGCTTAACAAAACTTCCAGGAGGTATTTAAGCTGGAACCTGATCTGCCCCTAGAGTTAAGAGAGCCCAAACCGAACGGGCACTTCCACAGAAAAGTCTCACTGAAATGGCAGTAACAGCAAAAGTCCTGTAACATCATGGCATGTGACACCAGAAGTAAGAATGCAACTATAATAATTGGATGTAAAAGGCTATAGGACCAGAAAAAAATTCGCCTTGGATGCTGAAGGAGGCAGCTGAAGCACTATGCATTCCTTTTGCTATAATATTTCTCTCTGGAAACGGGAGAATTTCCGTACTGCTGGAAAAACTGCTAATGTGGTGCCAGTATACAAGATAGAAGACAAGAACCGTTAAATTAAACTACTATCATTAACAAGTATTTCCTGAAAGTTACTAGAGACTGATTCGAAGCAGACTTGTATAACATTTAGAACAGATCAATTCTGTCTCAAATTATCAACACGCTTCAAGCAAACGACATCGTGCTTGACAAACTTGTTGGTGTTTTACAATAAGATGACGGAAATCAAACAAGAGCGAGAAGGATGGGCTGATTGCATTTTCCTCGACTTTCAGAAAGCATGTGATACCGCCCCGCGCAAGAGACTCCTACTTATGCTTGAAAAGCAGGCTGGTGTAGCTTGAAAAGTCCTAAAGTTGGTGAGAGAGTGCCTCTTGGACTAAAAAAGCAAAGATTTACAGTGAAAGGGTCGGTGCGATGACCCATCTTGTTTCTAGATAGTTTTCGTCGAGAAGTGCCGGACCAACCGGGCTGTAGTGGATATGTGGGCCTGCGGGCCGCTCCAAGCAACACCCTGTTGGACCAAACTCTCACAAATCAAGCCTGGCCTCGGGCCGGGCTTGGGGAGTAGAACTCCCAGAACCCCATCAAGCAGGTATCAAGCAGGTTTCCAAATATGTATGAATGACCTGACAGGTTATTGGCGGCCAATTTGTTGATGTTTGCAGGCAATGCAAAATAAATGAAAAGAGAACACAGAGAGAGAGAGAGAGAGACTGTGAAGAGAGAGAGAGAGAGAGAGAGAGAGAGAGAGAGAGAGAGAGAGAGAGAGAGAGAGAGAGAGAGAGAGAGAGAGAATCTGTGATGCTCTAGATACGGATTTGGATACACTAATTCAGAAGTGACCTAAAGAATGGCTGGTAGAATTTAACCCAGCCAAATGCAAAGTTTTGAAGATTAGAACAGGAATAAGAAGATATGTATAGCGGTATAACCTGAAGATTAGACATAGTCTTGTATCAGAAAGGGAGAGACCTGGGAATAGATATAATCTCAGATATAATGCCAGAAGCACGCATGAACAGAATATCGTCAGACGTATGCGCCATACTGGCCGTCGTCCTCGTGTGCCGCGCCATACTGGCCGTCGTCCTCGTGTGCCGCGCCATACTGGCCGTCGTCCTCGTGTGCTGCGCCATACTGGCCGTCGTCCTCGTGTGCCGCGCCATACTGGCCGTCGTCCTCGTGTGCCGCGCCATACTGGCCGTCGTCCTCGTGTGCCGCGCCATACTGGCCGTCGTCCTCGTGTGCCGCGCCATACTGGCCGTCGTCCTCGTGTGCTTCACCTCGCCAGCCTACCCCCTGCACACCAAGCCAAGCTACTGACCGGTCTGTGTGCGCGGGAACTCACTACTAGCCTCCTCCTACCATGTCATGGCAAGTCAAGCTGTGTTGATGGTCGTCTCTCTCTCTCCTTCCCCGAGGAGGCGACGGCTACGTGACCTCGGATTCATTCACGATGGTTCACAATAAAGAGCGTTCAGAAATAGTGACGCTGAGCAATGTGACTCACTTCCCTGAGAGAGTCATGAGTGCCACAGGCGCTGTACACCGCATGTAAGGCCCGCTCTTGAATACTGTTCGGAGGTAGAAATAGCCTAAGCTACTCCATACCTTTGAGATGTGTTTTTTTTTCTCAATAAACATACTTACATACTTGAACTTGAACTTGTACTTGCTCTTGAATATACAGCTCCCCCCCCCTTCCCTGTATGGAACCCTCACCTTAAAAAGAAAAGTCTAAAGATGTACAACACAGCTCGCTCCTGAGGTAAAGGACTTGATCTACGATGAAAGACTGAGGGAACTTGACCAACACACTAAAGAAGATAGAGACAGGAGGGGGACATAATAATGATAAGTAACATAGGAAATTTACAAAGATAAAACATTCAGAACTAGGGCAGCAGAACAAGGGATAATAGATAGAAGCTTGATTTGATTGTTGCCGCCGGAGGCGACTAGTTTATAATATGAATCACTGCCTTATGATAGGATTGTGCGTGATAATATAACCAATATTGTATCAGTTGAAAGCATTGGAACTAGTGTTTCTAGATGGATTCAAAGAGCAGCCACTCATATTAACTCTGGGACTACACATGTGAAGGTGTTAATTAACCCCGACTTCCCTGTAGGCGACCCATTAGCACTAGACACACACACTACTCACGTCCTCAACGCTCTACTTGGTCGATTTCTTGCTTGTGTACCAATGCAGCAGACATCTGTTATTGCCATCAATCATAGTGTAAGTTAACGTAATGGAGATCTGTTTGGTCCTAGTGTGTCGGGATCGTTTGCACGCGTCACACAGGTGACATAAACAACATGTGAGCACAAGAGTTGGCGCTCAGTTATGTAAGCACAAGGAGGCGAGTATAAGTAGTAACGTACAGATGCATGCAACATGGTCCTCGGCTTCACCTTTAGCACATTAGGGGCAAAAAATGTTATGTTAAGCGCTGAATATTGTTCAAGTAGAATACTTTGAGGAGTA